GGTAGGGGGGGGTGTGGTGGTGCAGCAGGTCTGTGAGGTAGGGGGGGGTGTGGTGGTGCAGCAGGTCTGTGAGGTAGGGGGGGTGTGGTGGTGCAGCAGGTCTGTGAGGTAGGGCGGGTGTGGTGGTGCAGCAGGTCTGTGAGGTCGAGGGGGTGTGGTGGTGCAGCAGGTCTGTGGGGTAGGGGGGGTGTGGTGGTGCAGCAGGTCTGTGGGGTAGGGGGGGGTGTGGTGGTGCAGCAGGTCTGTGAGGTAGGGGGGGTGTGGTGGTGCAGCAGGTCTGTGAGGTAGGGGGGGTGGTGGTGCAGCAGGTCTGTGAGGTAGGGGGGTGGTGGTGCAGCAGGTCTGTGAGGTAGGGGGGGGTGTGGTGGTGCAGCAGGTCTGTGAGGTAGGGGGGGTGTGGTGGTGCAGCAGGTCTGTGAGGTAGGGGGGGTGTGGTGGTGCAGCAGGTCTGTGAGGTAGGGGGGGGTGGTGGTGCAGCAGGTCTGTGAGGTAGGGGGGGTGTGGTGGTTCAGCAGGTCTGTGAGGTAGGGGGGGTGTGGTGGTGTAGCAGGTCTGTGAGGTAGGGGGGGGTGTGGTGGTGCAGCAGGTCTGTGAGGTAGGGGGGGGTGTGGTGGTGCAGCAGGTCTGTGAGGTAGGGAGGGTGTGGTGGTGTAGCAGGTCTGTGAGGTAGGGGGGGTGTGGTGGTGCAGCAGGTCTGTGAGGTAGGGAGGGTGTGGTGGTTCAGCAGGTCTGTGAGGTAGGGGTTGTTGTTGTCTGGTTGTTGAGGGCTTTGTGTGTAATCAGGAGGATTTCGAAGTCGATTCTTTGACGGACGGGGAGCCAGTGGAGGTTCTGGAGGATGTGGTGATTGAATTTGAGCTGACTGTTTTGCATTTGTTTTTAGTAGTTTTGTATTTATAGTGGTTTTCTTTGCTATATGTTGGTTTGCATCCATTCTTTGTAGATGTAGCTTTTGGTGGTTTTGAAACAGTTTTCAGTAGTTTTGTTGGTTTGCTGTTCATTTGGTGTTTTTTTTTTGCATAATTTCTGGGTCCTTTTGAGTCCCTTTGGCATCCTTCGTCCTCTCTGGCATCCTTCGTCCTCTCTA